CCAAAGAAAATTGCCAAAACCTCTTTCCTTGATGACGCTTTTAGAAAGACCCTTGAATCTTCACTGCGGTTTGGAACACCGCTTCTGGTACAAGATGTTGAATCATACGACCCAATTCTCAATCCTGTCCTCAATCGTGAAGTTAGGCGCACGGGTGGTCGCACCCTCATTACACTTGGTGATCAGGATATTGATCTTTCCCCTACATTTATTATTTTCCTTTCTACAAGGGATCCTTCAGTAGATTTTGCACCTGACATTTGCTCTAGAGTAACGTTTGTAAACTTTACGGTGACTCATAGCAGCCTCCAGAGTCAATGTCTCAATGCGGTGCTGAAAGCGGAAAGGCCAGATGTTGACAATAAACGATCAGATCTATTAAAGATGCAAGGTGAATTTCAGCTGAGGCTGCGCCATTTGGAGAAGGACTTACTACAGGCTCTTAACGCTGCTGAGGTGTGTTTAACCCTTTACCCGTTATTGGTGATGCTTCTCAGTTAATTTTGACTCCCATGCTAGCTTTTTTTGTTGATTTGTGTCTTGTTTGCAGGGCAACTTGCTAGATGATGATAAGATCATTACGAACCTGGAAACTCTAAAAAAAGAGGCCGGAGAGGTTGCCAAGAAGGTGGAGGAGACAGATGCGATCATGACAGAGGTGGACAATGTCTCACAACAATATGTCCCCCTCTCACAGGCATGCTCAGGCATCTACTTTACTTTGGACGCTCTCAATCAGGTTCACTTCCTCTACCAGTACTCATTGCAATTCCTCCTCTCCATATTCAACTTTGTCCTTACTCAAAACGAAAATCTCAAAGGCGTCAGTGACAGTAAAACGAGGTTGGATATAATTACTAAGGACCTCTTCCAAGTAACCTACAATCGCGTTGGTCGTGGAATGTTGCACAGCGACCAGATTACGTTTGCGGTGTTACTGGCGCGTATTTACTTGAAGGGCAAAGCATCTGCAGGTGTGACCTTTGAATCAGAATTTTCCGTCTTCCTCCATGGTCAAGACAGCGCAAGCCTCTTGACTAGCAAGAATCTACCTGATATCAAGGGTCTCACCGTCGAACAACGTGCTGCACTCAGCAGACTGCAAAGCCAGCTGCCAGCTTTTAGAAATATCGTTTCAGCCATTGGAAATGAACAACATTTTAATGCTTGGCTAGAAACTGTTTCTCCCGAGGTGATTACTCTGCTCTTTATTGCTAAAAGTTAAACAAACCGTTTATAATCAAAATACTGAGTTTGATTTATTGGGAGGACTTCACTGATGTCCTTTAAATGCATCAATCTCAGCATTCCAAATACCAGCAATTTTTTATTACTAGTTTTGGTCTATTAGCGAAAAGGGTGCTGATGTGAGATTTTGAGATATCTATAGTGTTGAAGAGACTGTTTAATAGTTACATTGCCATATTTTAGACGGAAGTTCCTATATTGTGGGAGCTGCCTGCTGCACAAGCCACTCCAGTGGGCACCGCAATTTATAGCCTGCTGCTTATTCAGGCACTTCGACCAGACCGCCTCCTAGCTTGTGCTCACATGCTAGTTTTCGCAGTGTTTGGCCAAGGCTTTATGGACGCTACTCGTTCTAACCTCGATCTTGGTCCACTCGTTGAGCAAGAGATAAAAGCAAACGTTCCCGTCCTTCTCTGTGCTACTCCGGTACCATAATATTTTTTATGCAGTCTAACTAATTGAGTTACTTATCGGCCTCATTTTCATCTGCCATCTGGTCCCTTGAATCTTTGGCCGTAGTAAAATACAACCTTTAATCAATAGGGTGGTTTTTGTTTAGGGCTTTGATCCGAGTGGGCGTGTGGAAGATCTTGCAGCTGATTTGAAAAAAACACTCACTGGGATAGCTATCGGTTCCGCTGAAGGTTTCTCGCAAGCCGAAAAGGCTATCAATGCGGCTGTGAAACAGGGCAAGTGGGTGATGCTAAAGAACGTTCATCTAGCACCATCGTGGCTCGTTCAGCTGGAAAAGAAGCTACACTCTTTCCAGCCCCACCCGAACTTTCGTCTATTCCTTACAATGGAAATCAATCCCAGGCTACCCGTCAACCTCCTTCGTTCTGGTCGAGTGTTTGTCTTTGAACCTCCACCTGGCATCAAGGTGTGTGTGATTGGCAGTTTTTTTCTCAAGCACTGTTCCGATTTTTGTTTATACTAAACATGAGCATTCTTCTCTTTTCACTTCAAGGCGAGCCTTTTGCGAACTTTCGCCAGCCTCTCACCAACCAGGATGTCTCGTGCTCCAGCTGAGCGTTCTCGTCTCTACTTTTTGCTGGCTTGGTTCAATGCTGTTGTGCAGGAACGCCTTCGTTACGCTCCTCTGGGTTGGACTAAGTGCTATGAGTTTAATGAATCCGATCTCAAATCGGCTTACGACACTATCGACACATGGGTAGATAGTGCTAGCAAAGGTCGCTCTAATCTGCCACCCAACCAGATCCCCTGGTCCGCTATCCGCCAGCTCATGTCACAATGTATTTATGGTGGCCGTGTCGACAATGACTTTGACCAAACTCTTTTGGATACTTTCCTCTCGCGCCTCTTCACTGATCATAGCTTTGACCACGATTTTGTTCTTGTTAGCGATTTGGACGGTCAGGCAGGCAAAAACATTCTTATCCCAGAGGGAACTTCACGCGAAGAAATAGTCGCATGGACAAAGAAACTTCCCTCTGTCCAAACGCCCTCTTGGCTTGGCTTGCCCAACAACGCGGAGAAGGTGCTTCTGACCAATATGGGTAAGCTGATGTGTCTTACTGTTCTGTTTTTTTGTTTGACATCGTCGTAACTTAGTAATTTTAGCCTTTTGTGAGAATTGCATTTTTCATCGTGTTTGAAACACACTTAGAGTTAATTTCGCAATGTACCTTACCCGCTCTGTGGTCAAATAGCCTGCCTAGTAGCTCTCATATCGGTTATATTTATCCTCTCTTTGTAATTTTAGCATTCGTGGTACTTTTTAAATCTCACTACCATGCTTCAGAAGTATCGTTTCCAGAGCCATCTACCTCTATTCATAACGATCATTGATTTAAAAAATGCTTTGGATAAGGATGTTTTTTGTTTGGTCAAATTTACAGTTGGTTTTCGGTTGCATCGACTTCACTAGCAACGTTGAATTTCTCATTTTATCTCTTTATTGCACAATGAGCCACGTATGCTACCTCTTCATCATAGCCCTCGCCCTTTTTTACATCCTCAGCTAAGCTAAAATGCATTCTTGCTAGTTTACATCATGCGTGGGTCCAGTTCATTTCGAATTCCAACTCAAGGGATCGATGGGAAGAGTTCAGAACAGATGTGAGTTCTCACCTACTCTTGGAGCCTAGCGAAATGGATGCAGAAATTGACCACGGGTTTGATGGCTAGATTGTGGAGTCTCGTAGTTGCAGCAGTTGAATCACTGCCACTTGGACTGTTATCCATTCCCCTCAAGTGTATCCATACTTGACATAGGCCACTCGGGTAGGAGTGAGCTCTAAATGGCATCTTTTCAAGAGAAATAGAAGCCAACCGACATTTTACTCGTACATGCTGTGAGACTGCTATTGCCACCCGAACAGCCACGTGTCACATAATTCTTCTAGAAAGTTAGCTATATTTAAAGCGCAGACGTGGCTGTCTGGTACCTATGCTTAGGCCTAAAACCTGATTTCTTAGTGGGAATAAAACTGGCTTCAACGACTGCTTCCATATTCCGTCACACTCTCCTTATTTTCTGCTTTTCTAGTTACTAGAACGAAGGCTGCGAATTTTTCGCTTCTGGTCTATTGAAACTGGCTTCCACTTTTTAGGGCAAGAAATGATTGGAAATCTGCTTAAGATGCAGCAGGCAGTCAGCACA